AAATATGAAGCTACTACTTACTATAATTAATGCTCCGTTTGTCTCTGTTGGTCTGTTGGTCCTATATATGGTCAGTACATCCATACTGGCCTTATTATTAGCATTTTAGCAATACAGAGGGTTAGCTAAAGTAACGTAGCTCTTACTAATAATTCAAACAAGGATGTTTGTTTAACTTTATACCAATAGCAATTTTAAACATAGTTTGAATGTGTTTACTCGTAAAAGCAAGCGTGACTGTGATAATTATTATTAATGTAGACTTTACTATTTCTTTGCATTCCTTCCAATTCACTCCCTCTACTGTCTGTCTGCTCTCTCTCTCTCCCCCTCCTCTCTCTCTCTCTCTCTCTCTCTCTCTCTCTCTCTCTCTCTCTCTCTCTCTTTCTCCCTCTCCCTCTCTCTCTCTCTCTCCAGGAGCACTGCCTGATGGGTATTAAAGGTACAGTGAGGAGGAATCAAGATGGACACTTCATACATGCCAACATTGACCTGGACATTATCATATCTGAAGAGGTACTAGTGTGCTATATTTAGTAACAGTATTAATACTATAATCATCAAGCTGTGCTATATTTAGTAACATGATTCCATGTATTTTGTATATTAATAAGCTACCATTAATTATGAGTATATAATTAAAATTAATTATTTTATAATTACATGTATTTTGACAACATGTTTTGTCATCTCATGCGGATCTGATGTTATTATTATTATTATCATCATCAGTATATTATTATTATTATTATTCTTTTATATATTGTTTTATGGTGTATTGCTTGACAGATAATTAATAATTGAAAGTGGTTTTATTAAAACTGTTGTGTCTTTGTGGTACAGGTACATGTACACTTGTGGTGATGTGAGAGTGTACTTTAATCACATACATGTATGTACATGTACATGTATATGTATAAGATTCACGTAGATTTCATATAAATAATCACGTCCACATATATTGTATAGTCGGTTACTATGAAGACTTGTATAATACATATTAAGACTTATAATGTTTTTGTGCCATCTTACTCTTCCATAGACAGTTCTAAACCCGTATGGACAGTAGTACAGTCAAACCTGTCTATTCCGGACACCTTGGGACCAAACAAAACTGTCCTTATTATAGAGGTGTCCTTATTTTAGAGTGTCCACAATAGCAGGCTATACTGTATAAGCTAGTTGCTTCTTAATTCTGCTCTGCAACAAGAAATATAAGTGTGATATGTACATGTACATACATGCATGTACATCATAAACAGATTTGCTTATGATTATTAATGGGGTATGCATGTTTTTGTAGTAGATGGTGTGTTTGATTCTTGTTAATAAGTAGCTGTCTTGTCTCCTGTTTGTAGTGCGAGGTAGTTATTCAACTTGTTACTATTGTTGGTAGGTAGTTATGTGCTTTGGTGGAGTTCCTGACATTCTTTTAGTTATGTCATCTCTCTCTCTCTCTCTCTTTCTCTGTCTTTCTCTCTCTCGCTTCTTCTCTCTCTCCCTGTTTCTCTGTCTCTGTCTCCCTCCCTCTCTCCCTCTCTCTCTCCCTCTCTCTCTCCCCCTACAGCCAGAGATGGGTAATAATGATAAGCCAGAGGAGATATTCCATATCATTGAACACTTTTGTTTGGGTAGAAAGAGACTCCATTTATTCGGCAATGATGCCACTGTTAGACCAGGTAATTAAAACCAATTAATCAATTAATTTAATTAATTACATTAACCAATAATTAGATGAAATTTGTAGTATTACATGTCCATTAATTCATGCTATTTTCATATATAAGATACGTGTACATGTACATGTAGTTATTGTTTTTTAATTATCTTATTTATTTATTTATTTTTTATTTATTTGTTTATTTATTTATTCATTCATTTATTTATGTTTGCATTCATTTATCTATTTATTCATTTACTTATTTATTTATTTATTTATTTATTTATTTATCTTACTCATAGGTTGGCTAACACTGGGCCCAAACCTCTCCAGTTCCAATTATCACAAAGAATCATATCTTGCTAACTTCACTGACGAGAGTGGTGGCCCACTACTCAAATTTGACGAGACCATAGAAACACTTCGTCCAAAGACCCCGCCCCCTAAAGGGCGTGGCATCGGCCGAGGGGGCCTCAATGTGAACCCTGGGATGGGCGGAGTCGGTCGAGGACGTGGCAGCTACACATGACATATTAATAATTATTCTTTTTTAATTTTTAAAAACAATATTGAATCGGAAAAATTATACCCCAAAAAATTTGTTCAAAAATGGAGCATCTTATAAGACTTTGCTGCATTTGTAAAGCATAAGCTGCAGTTAGCTGCTCAATGATTAGCATTTTTCATGTGCCATACGTTGTAGAAGTTAATATGCAGAGGTGTGTCTCTTTATTATTGGTGGTGCTATATATAGTGGGTGATGTGGAGCCTAGGAGAAGTGAAGTCCTACCGCAAACCATGTCTTATCCTCCGATACAGGCTCTACACTTGCTGCTCCTTCTCTTCTTAATACCTTCTTCCATTGCTATTCCATACACTGAAGTTTGTCAGGGATTGTTCCGTAAAGTTCTTAGCGAAGATATTGAAGATGTAGAGCCAGTTGAGGCAGGAGTCATTGAATTGCAGCTCAACTCCACTCGGAAAGTTTTAAACGGAACTGAGCTCGTCTTTGTATGGAGTATGGATACTGTCCCTCGCTCGGAGTCTTTTGAAATCTTATTAAAATTTGATTGCTTCCATTTTGAGGTTAGCTTCTTATTGAACACTTTTTGCACACTTTTGCTGCTTTATTTATGAAAATAAATGATTTTCAGCAAGCAAAGCACAAAGTTAATGCTACATACCCCTCCAAAATTACCAGCTATACACTATATATTAGCAATTTTAAATCTTTCATAGGATTCATTGGTTCGATTTGGAGGGTCCTCATTTGGTAGAGTCAATCTGACATCACCGCTAGATTATAATTGTTCGGTTCTGACATGTTTTCGAATTCCCTTTTTTGGAAATGAGGCATACTACCGGATGTTTGGACCTTATCAAAGTCACCAAAAAAGCAACATTATAGAAGGTAATACAGTTAGTCCTGTCTATTCCAGACACCTTGGGGCCCAATAATACCCTAGCTCCTGATCATATGAACCCGTTCTTATTTCAGAGGTTCATTAATACACATTACTATTGTATTGGGACTGATACTACCCCTCCTCATTATAGAGGCCTCCTTATTATGTAGAACCAATATGATTTTTGTATAGCTAAGAAATTGCCTAATATCATGTACCCAATTTCCAAAATAAACTTAATCATCATATTTTTAGTCACTTTTGTTCAACGACTTGTGACCAAAAATTTATCAATATTTTTATGATTATATTTCTTTATTTTTGCCTCAGTATAGTCACTGGCGCTAATTCTAATTGCATCCAATTCTTAGCAAAATTTTCACTTTAGTACTAATGTGTGTGTGTGTGTGTGTCATTTTGAACTAAAAGTTCATCGCTGGTTGAGTGTATCAGTATAGTACACTGTCTAGTTCCAATTATTGTACTAATTATTATAATGACATGCTACCATCTCATTCCATTCATTGGTGTACATTCCTATTGACCTCTTTGATGTCCCTCTCAATCCATTAATGATAATATACACTGCAGCAGTTTCCCACTATCTTCCTTTATGACTATATGTAACTATTTTCAATTTCTCCTTTGATTCTCTCTCACCCCATCCCCCCCTCTCTCTCTCCCTCTTTCTCCCTCTCTTTCTCTCTCTCTCTCTTTCTTTCTTCCTCCAGTATCTAGTAGTCCCGGTCCCTCCTCCACTACAATCCCTACTGATGGTAAGTAGTTCTACTCTACACTTCAGTCTGTTATTGATATAAATGGTTTCTGGTTTAATCTGTTATTATAATCCTTCCTAGGCACCTCCTCTGTGTATTCCTCTGTCTCCTACTCCACATTCCTTGAAGATGATGAATTTGATGATGACTTCTATGCTACAAAATTCACAATATCATCACCTTCTACTTCCATGCCATACACTAATACAAAGACACCACTGCATAATCCTCCTAGTGCTACTACTAGTATTGATAGAGTCATTGAAGGGACTTTTACTAGTGGTAGTTATTCTTCTGTCTCTTCCGATGCTGTTCAATCCACGATGAGTTCAAGGTTGACATCATCTGTTTCTATACTGACACCAATTGAGAGTGGATCAGTTCAAGGATCAGGAAATCAGACACAAGATTATACAAGTGAGACTATCATTTACTTATTGCATAGTGACCTCTTTTTTTCCTTTTCTCTCTCCCTCTAACTTTTTTACCCTCTCTCCCTCTCTCTCCATGCATATTCCCTCATATACATTCACACTGTGTACAGATCAAGTTATTTTTGCAGTAGTTTCATCAATAATTTTAACTACAACACTAATTGTGTGTGGAATGGTTGCATGGACAACTGCCAGAAAATGCCTTTCAAGAAAGAAGTAAGCACACACACACACACACACACACATAATAATTTCACACTTGGAATCATAAATAGCTAAGGCACATGATAACCTACCACTATGGGACATTACCTATACATGAACATCAAAGATTTTAGATTATAGTAATAGTGGAGTTGACTTAACCAAGCCACTCCTATAAGACATGTTACTACTATGTTATGCTTACCATTTTCTGTAGAAATGAAGTCATGAGCTTATAGCTTAAAATTTTATACCCAGTCATCCTTAAAATTTATACAAGCGGTTATACATAGGAAGTGATTTCATGTTATATTATAGTAAATACCCTATTTTTGTTTATTATCAATTAAGCTTTTATTATCAAACCTTGCTTATAAGCTGCTCCGTATGAATGTAAGACGTATGTACATGTACTTTGTATGTATATGCATCTTGTTTTTGTTAGCTGTTATGCAGGCTATGAGAAAGGAGTGCACTGTTTGTTATGATAGTTGCATATTATCTGAACTATTTAATTGTTTTATAAATCTTTCCTTCATTACAGTATCAATTATAATAATAAATAATACTGATAATGACACTCACTGTACAGTCTGTGTGTTTGTTCCATTACTGATCATCATCCTCCGTTCATTCATTATAGAAGTGACATTCAAAAAGAGATTGATCTGTACAGGACTTCAATGGCATTTCACTGAATGTGCATTAATGCAGTTTTGCAGTTCAATTTGCAGCCAATGCAGTTTTTGCTAATAATAATAAAACTTGTACTATATAGCTCTGATGTACTGACTACCATTGTACCATATAGTAATGAATAATGTTTCTTGTATTTAATGAAGAGAAATCATAAAAGCATGGAGAGGTGGTTTGTTAGGAGGCATAGCTGTTAGGCCATTTCCTTCTCATTTGTGGTCCCTTGGGAGCATCGTAATGATTCCCTGCTAATGTTTATTAAGAAACTCATGAATAATTCATGAGTTGAGCCATGCTCTCTCTATATATATATATCACTGTGCAGTCTGCCTGATTTCAGTTGTACTGATTTTTAATTACCTCTTTCTCTTTTTTAGGATTGCTAAAGAGATCCAAGAAAATTTGGGAAAAGTAAGTAGAGAGAGGCAACTTAATTATTTTTAAATATTATAATTATAATTTATTTTTTCCTATATAGACTGAGCTTCTTCTTGTCCATGTCACCCCCTCTCCATCACTCTACACTATCATCTCACCTCTCCAGACATTCACTGCCTCATATAATGACACCAGCAATGACTCCAAATCCGACATTAAAGACACCACCACATCATCATCACCATCATCATCAGCAATACCATCACCTCCAGTTTCCCCCACATCATCAGACAACCTTTTCACCAGTAAAACAGACTCATTTATCTCACACAGAATATCAACAAAACCAGTTAATACTTCAATGTCTACTGACACTCTCTCCTCATATGATAGCTGCTCTATAGAAGTCACAGAGACTGCAGCTTTAAAAAGACATTTACCAGCAAGTACACCCCAGCCTACAGCCTTGCCTCCTGTAGAGTTGCTTCAGTTGGAGCTGGAGCCTGGCCACACTTCATCAAGTTCAGACTGGTCATCTTCAGGTAGCTGCATTACTTATTATAAAGTTTTTGAAAGAAGGAGGGATAGAGTGGAAGGAGAGGTTGATATCAGTGGAGATAAGACTTGTAGTACTTACTCTGATCGCGACGATCATCATCATCATCATCATCATCGTTATAGTTTGCTAGATCATTTTTCTTCATCTCAAACTACTGGACACACTTACATTCAGGACTGCAACAGTTTTAACAGCTCCTGTAGTTGAAATTAACTGGGAGATCTTGTTATTATAATAATCATTGACAATTCATATCATTTATTCATTTCAAATCAATTATTATTATTCAAAGTTATATAATTTTATTGAGCTTAGTTAACTACCCACGTGTTAACACGTGACAGGGTCTAGGCGAGGTGGAGTTAGATTAATAGCAGCTCAATCAGCAAAAAGTGAATAATAATCAGGAAGTTTTTCAGCTATTTTATCCCTGGATGGCATTTGATATTGACATTTCAAATGAAAATCATCATACAGTGAGCCCTTCATTTAAAGGGATGGTGAGAGAGACAGGAGAGAGAAGAAAGCTATCACAAGAATTCCAAGAACCACTTAATCCCTTTCTTTTATAGGCAACTATTAACCTGTTAAAAAAATGTATTGTACAAATTCATTTTGTACATTTTTCATTGAATTTGACCCTTCATCATCACTGTTGCGGAAATGTTGGCTGCAAGTCGGAGCACGGCAAACACTGAAGTGTAAGCATTTAGATCTTCTGTAGTATGCATCATAGTATCAGAGTATTATTAGCATGATGTTTGATTGAACAATAAATTTAATGACCAGAAATGAGCAACATGGTTGCTGGGGCGTATCTAGAAATATGAGAGGAGGGGTGCTGAGGGCGCGCGAAGCGCGCCGCGATTTTGGCCACACCCACTTTTACGGCAGTAAAACGGCCTTTTCCTGCATTTTTGTCAATTGCGGGTGGGGCCAAGATCATTTCAAGCATACTGCCATGCGAGCTGCCATGTTACTGGTACTCTGAATTCTGATTGCTCCTTAAAGCACTGGAAACTGCTGAAACTATGATCAGGGGGCTAGATAACTTTGTTAGGAGGCTTGGTAGTGATGCAAGAGTCCAGGATTTGAGTAATTTTTTCTGAGCTCAGCCATGAGGGGGGTGCTCAAGCCCCCTCGGCCCCCCCCCTAAATACGCCTCTGGGTTGTATATAATTCTTTTTCAACTGAAGGTTACCCCTTGGATTAATTAGTTTGCTGCATTCACTTAGCTTTAATTGGAACTAAATTTCCAGGGAATTTTAGTACATAAAGTTTTACTAGAATAACACTGATTGATAAAGGAATTTAGACTATTCGCATTTTGCACCGTATGATTAATGCTGATTAATGTCCACGTAATGCATACATAATATGTTGCTATTAATAGTACATCATGTGAATTATGTCATAAGATAAAGTCCCACATTACCTTTTTAATCATATGATTAATGATTGAGGTGTACGTAATGTTGCTATTATTAGCGGCATTACGGTGCACTATGATGTCATAGCTAAACTCCTATATAATTGCTTCTACTGCCGCAACTATCACTCAAAAATCAATAGTGCAATGGCTCATTGTGCTGAGAAAGACACAAATAATGGAGAAGGAGTCCAACTTGTTGCTGTTATTGGTGGTGGATTAGTTGGTCCCTTGCAGGCATTGTATCTAGCTCGGAATGGATTAAAAGTTTACCTTTTTGAATCGAAAAAAGACATAAGGAAATCAGACTCGGGGGCTGGTAGGAGCATTAACTTGACTATTAGTACCAGGGGAATTGAAGCACTTGAAGCTATTGGATTAAGACATGTTCTTTCCGAGGCTGTTCCAGTATATGGTAGAATGAAGCACTCATTGGACGGGACAACATCCACAATGAATTACAGTTCAAAAGGAGAGGCCATTCACTCCATTAACAGGCTGAAGTTAAATCAAGCTCTGCTTGAAGCTGCTGAACGTGACTCTAACATCACACTTCACTTTGAACACAAACTCCATCATGCCGATCTCAAGAAGCAGTTGCTTACTTTTAAAACCCCCGAGGGTGAGAAAGAAGTGACAGTTGGTTTCACGTTTGGGTGTGATGGCACTTTCTCAACAGTCAGAGATCAAATGCTGAAATCAGGAGGATTCAATTACTCCTTCAGTCAAGAGTGCATCGAGCATGGTTATAAAGAGCTTCGTATGAAACCTCACACTAATGATGCCCACCAAGAAGAATTTGCAATGACTCCTGATCGCCTCCATCTTTGGCCACGTCAGGAATTCACAATGGTAGCTCTACCTAATCCTGATAAGAGCTTCACCCTTGCTCTTTTTATGCCTTTTGATAAGTTTGAAACCATAGCATCTGAGGAAAAGCTACTGCCTTTCTTTGAAGAACACTTTCCTGACTCTATTGACAAGATAGGGAAAGAAGAGCTAGTGAATGATTTTAAAAGGAATCCCACTGGGTCCCTGTACTCCATCAAGTGCAATTCATACTATCATTGCTCCGCCGTTTTGTTAGGAGATGCTGCCCATGCAGTCGTCCCATTTTTTGGGCAGGGAACAAACGCTGGCATGGAGGACTGCCTCATTTTTGATGAACGTCTGAAGGAACTCAAGAAAGTAGGGGGAAAAGGAGGAAGAATTGGACTAGATGATCTTAAAGCTGCAGCTAAAGCTTATTCTGATGACAGGTGGGAGGATGGCCAAGCAATAGCAGATCTTTCAATGATTAATTATGAAGAATTGAAATCTCCCCAAAAGCACCCATTTGATGAGTCTCTATATAATATGGTTGCGTTCACCAGGAAGCCATATCGTGAGGCTTTGAAGAAGAAAAGGAATAAGACAGAATGATTTTGTTGATTTTGTTTCGTATAATACCAAGTATTGATTATGACGGTATTTTGCCTTTTTATTTTATTGATAGTATTTCTAACTGTTATTGATTTTAATGCTTACTATTTTGCTGCTACTTATTATTGTCTTTAAATGTTGTTGTTTTTATCTTTGTTTTTAAAAATTTACTATCAAATAATGCAAATTTTAAATTATGCAATTAAGATTTAGTGTTTTGCCGCCAGCTATTTTTCCAACTAAGTATCATCTTGTAAAAGTATAACTTTAGGTGGCAGATTAGGCTTTAATTTTGCTATTATCAGGCATAATGATATCTACATGCTAGCTTAGCTTAATGTCCTCTAAACAGTTTATTTAATAAATCTCAAGTTGACATAATGTTGTCTATGCAGTTCAATGATTCTTGGAATAGCACTTAGCTAGAGGTATAACTTTCTTGGAATCGTAACATATAGACTAATAATGCTTCTGCTTCATGTATAGCGGTATAGCACTACACGGCATACAATGCATTTCTGTTGATTCATTCATTTCTCACCGGATATCAACCAAGCCACTCTCTCCACTGATGTTCTATGATTGGCTGTGGCTGATAGTGACAGGGCATTTGTCAGCTTTATAGAGCCAACTCTGCAGATATCACATCATATCTGCTGAGTTGCTGGCCCTGCAGATGTTGTTCCTTTATCTGCTGATCTGGCCCTGTTGTGCTCGGCTTTTTCTGCTGAGTTGGCCCTGATTGTGTATTTTTCCAGCTGGTACCAATACTTGTATTACCCAGAACCAATTTAATCATTGTAATTGCACTATGTACAGTTGCATTCAATAATAAGTGAAGGGTATAATAGCTCAGACTGTGAACATGATGATACATTGATACCTAATGCTTGAATGACATTACTACTGTGTGAGACCTTAAGGCTTGCTAGCTGCCACAATAATATACAAATATATAGTGTATTGTGTCAGCTATAAAGTATGCTTCTCCTGGTTTTTGAAGGGACAACTTTCAGATAATTATTATACACAAGAACATAAATATTAGCTGATGCAGCGTCCCATGTGGAAACACGTGGGTAGGTAAGTACGCATGCTCGGTATTGTGAGCACGCGGGGTGGTACTTTTGAAGAAACAAGATGTCGAAAAGAGGTAAGGAAACTGAATCCATTGTAATCCATTGTTAAGGATACGTAGAGAGGGAGGACTTTAGGCCTTTAACACTGTATTTTAATTGTACTAGCATTTAAAAGTACAATAAAAGACATTTTTATTATGGTATAACAATTATTGTTTCTAGTTTCATTTTATTTTTATTATTAATTTTTTAGCTGCTAAGGGATCTGCTGGTTCCAAGTTCCGTATGGCCCTTGGTCTTCCAGTGGGTGCTGTTATAAACTGTGCTGATAACACCGGGGCTAAGAACCTCTACATTATAGCAGTGAAAGGTATCAAGGGTCGTCTGAACCGTCTGCCAGCAGCTGGGGCTGGTGATCTGGTACTGGCTACTGTTAAGAAAGGAAAACCTGAATTAAGAAAGAAAGGTAACAGAGTGTGTGTTATTAGTAGAGGTGGGCGATACGATACCAAAGTACTCATATATCCGATACCAAGTACTCGATACCAAATCCTGGTATTGAGTAGTGAGTAACCACGCCCCACCACACCTATTTTTGACGTCATAATTATAGCCACACCGTTCAATAATTACAAAATGGTGGCTTACTTCACTCAGTTTTATTAATAACTAATTATAACTTATTTGTGCTTGCGCAATAGCTGACTACTCATTCACTACTCAATACCATCGATACTGATACTCAGGCTACTTGGTATCGGTATCGATTCAAAATTTCTGGTATCGCCCACCTCTAGTTATTAGTTACAATTAGTGGGTGTGTGATGAATTTTTAATATAAAGTTTTTGTTAACGGCTTAAGGCGTGTGAAATTGCTTTATGTACATCAAAATGTCAGAAGAGATATTTTATCTCCTCCATTTAACAGACAATGACCTCCAGATAAAGGAGACCTCTATATAATATATAACATACAAAGTGTCCTTTACCTAGTGGTTGTACTAGTAACTTTATTATTCCAAATTTTTAGTTTGTGTTCAATTGTTATTTTCTTTCCTTATAGTAATGCCAGCTGTTGTTATCAGGCAGAGGAAACCTTATCGTAGAAAAGACGGAGTATTCCTTTATTTTGAAGGTAATTTTGTCCTACACAGTTCCACTGTTTAACTATGTACATTTTAAACATGCTAATTTGTTATCGTTTGTTTTTTGTTCTTTTCTCTATCAGATAATGCTGGTGTTATTGTGAATGTCAAAGGAGAAATGAAAGGTATGACTCATCACATTTTAAGATTTGATGTACATGCTATGCAGAAAGTTTTAGTTGATCCCGACTTCAACTTTTCAGGTCATGAGCATTAAAAAACAAGCCAATTTCTGAAAAAATACTGTGTAGAAAGTTTGAGCTGATTCCGAATTCAATTTTTCAAGTTACAGCCATTTTAAGAAAATGCCAAAATTCTGGCCCATTGTTTTTTAATGGCTCCGAAGTCATGCCAAATTTTTATTACATTTTTTTATACATATTGATGTCCTTATGCTGTGTAGAAAGTTTGAGCTGATTCTGAGTTCACATTTTTTCAATAGGCCAATTTTTGGAAAATATCCAATGCTATAGTCCATGGTTTTTCTCAGAAAAATGGCTCCAAAATCATCTCTCATTTTTATTACAATATCTGATACTCGCATTCAGTCATTATTATTATTATTATTTCATTATTATTGATTAGGTTCAACAGTAGCTGGTCCAGTGGCTAAGGAATGTGCTGATATTTGGCCGAGGATTGCTTCTAATGCCAGCAGTATTGCATAAGAGAACTTAACTTTAATATTATTATTATTATTAATTCTTTTGTCATAATAGCAATAATTATTATGATATTAATGTTGGAGATATTTCACAAGAGCTTTTGTAGAGTAGTGAGGAAGTTTATGTTGAGCTCTAAGTTGCTATAATCTGCATAATTTTGGTTTTTGATTTAAATTTTTGCTGAAATTTCAAAAAGGAATTCAATCATGTTAAGCATATCTAAAAATAACAAAAAGTCTAAATAGCATCAACCAAATTATAAAATTAGATTTCAGCCTCCCTTTTGTACAATTTTTTCAGTGTTTCGTGTATTCTTTCTTTCGCCAGTTCTGTGCTAAATGCTTTTGCATCACTTTGTGTGAAACTAGAATCATCAACAATGTAATCAGGAAAGAGCACAGAGAAATTGAGACAACCGAATCCTTCAGTTTCTGAATGAACTTGTGGTTTTACTACGAGTAACTTCAAAAGGGCACGCATTGCATATACATTTCGAGCTGCTTTAGATATTGGTACCTTCTTCCATTTGTTGCCAGACCAAACTTCTATCTTATCATGTTCCATCTCCTTCTTTATAAACTCAAGCAATAATGCAATGTATCCAGCTACGACTGGAGCTGCAAATGATGTACCTGAAGAGGCATGGCTGGTTTTAACACATTGGACTTGAGCAAGAAAATCCAATTCCCTTCCAGCAGAGTTATATCTAGCACGATTATAAAATCCATCTCCTCTCCCAACAACAATGATATTGCCATTTCGACCAGGATAGTAAATTGAATTTTGCTGGCTGAAACCACAATTACCAGCAGCAAAAACAATTATCTTACCAGCTTTGACTGCTTTATCAAATGCTGTACATAGACCAAGATAGAAAATAGGGAATGAAACAGAGCATGAAATGACATCAATTGTATCCTCAGATTTGCAGTCATTGAAAATATCAGTCACTGAATTTACACTAGAATTTTGAGTGTTGTGACTGAGGTTGAGACACAATATTTGACATTCTGAAGATATTTTTCGTAACACCATAGCACATTTGTTGCCATGTAAATCTTTAGGAAGAGGCTGCCAATCAAACATTTCAATTGACCCTGAACTTTGCGCAACTTTATTAAATCGATCGATTATTCCAACACAAATATTTTTCCCCTTAAGATCATGAAACTTCCCACTTCTTTCCTCGGCACTAATTATGTCGTCTTCAACATTACCTTTTCCAGTAATGCTATGACCACAAACTATATTGGCCAACTTCTGGATTAAAAAGCTTGGCTTCATCTCTAAAAGTGATAATATAATTTGCTCACCATCTCCATATCCAAGCTGTGGATCATGTGATCCATTACCTTCATTAACTATGAGCTCACAGATCACATAAGTGTGTAAATGAGCGCTTTTTTGATCGAGTTTAGAATTTTTAACTATGTAATTGATCATTTTTTGAATGATCGAAATCGAATCTTCTTCTTCATTTCTTTCCTTCATGATAGAATTAATACGAGAGACTAGTAAAGAGATAAGACCTACAACTCTAGCAGCTGCAATACCACAGTCCCTTGGTAATTCTACTTCTTTCCCATTATATTTGATTAGTCTTGCTGGTCGAGTTTTGAAGTCTATGGACACATCAATTTCTCTGCCTTTTGGTCCAGTCCCAGCCACCCCCACAGAGATAACTGTACCCAAAGCAGCAGGAAAAACTACATCGCTTCCTTCTCTTCCAGCAGCACAAACAATGATTATACCATCATTTGTGGCTTCATATATCTCCTTCATTTCATCCTCCATGTATTGACCACCATATGGTATTAGGACCACAAGGTTGTCATAATTTCCTTTCCCTTCATTCCAGATTAACTTCAGCTGCTTAAGAGCTTTTGCAGTAGCACCATTAACAATGAATCCATCAGGGTCTGTCGTTTGGCATACAATAAACTCAGATGTTTTTGTGTAGTCGTGTATAATCCAAGGAGAAGTGATCCAATGATCGTAGGTTTTCTCAGACTTCTGACTCTTATCTTCAGGACTTAGAGCTGCTAGATGTTGCTCAATAACTTTGATAGGCCTATATCTTCCATGATCTGAGTTAAGAAAAGGGCATTTGTTAAGGCCGCTATACCCTAAAGTAGCAATTAAGATACGGTCACCTTTAAAATGATCACCATATACTGGTAGAGGCTGATAGACATTTGAGATGCCACAGCAACTTCCAAACATAATGTGTGGGCTCTTGTGTGAGGTTGTCTCTATGCAATTCAACCGATTAAGTATATTACAATCATTAAAATTTAATCGCACCAAGTTAATGTTTTGAAATTCTATGCGATAATCCTGAAGGAACTTTTTGACAAATTCACGTTTGACTTCGTCATTGCATCCCCACCACCATTGTTCTCACAGGCAACATTTAGTGTGTTTATGCTCAAGGACGATTTCAAAGATACAATTTCTGCAGGTATGCTGACTCTGCTCGTGCCATCAAAATGAGCAACAGTGACTTCCACTATGTTCAACATCTCATCCACATTAGGGCCGTTTAATACTGCCAGTATCCAGAGAGGGAACACTATGTTACAGATCTCATGCACGTCAAATGAAACAAGCGAAAATGTCTCATAAGAAAAAAAGGTGCCAGGTTGATTTTTAAATCTATAGCATGACACGATCTTTGCAAAATTTTTCCTTGCCTGCATTCTTTTCGCAATATAATCCCATATCCTGTAGCAAGTCACCTTGTCGACAAAATGGTGTTCTTTTGGTAAGTAGGAAAAATCTAGGATGTCATCTCTAGGAATATCTTTGATATCATCCATTGAGATCTCTCTGATCTAGATCTACTTGCTAGATTTGATACTGCTGTGGTAAAGCGAGGTCGCCGGATCTATAGAGCGAGACAATAGATTATATAGACCCTATAGGGGAGCTAATTTCTGCAAGTAATTATTGCATTGCGGTATCCACCCACACTCATAATTTGGACGGCAATATACAGTGTAGCTACATGAGGAAACAAGGAACAAGAGGCAGAGCTTGCATGAGTGGCAATACATGCCAGTAACAGTGAAAAATAAAGCCCAGAATGTCTCCAGGAAAAAAAGCTTCATTGCACTTGAAGTGACTTGTCCACAAAGGCTGCTTTGGCCTCCTATCCATTGGTTTTGCCATCCAGCAGGAGAATTTCGAAAAATTTTCATTAAAGAATGCGAATAGGGTACGGATTATTAATTATTATTACTTATTAGATTATTAATTCTTTTGTCATAATAGCAACAATTATTATGATACGCGAGAGTTATAAATGTGTCAACTGACATCTTTGATCAAAATTAATGATAACTGATTGAAATGAATCTCTTAAGTGACTGAGGTCAGTTATTTCTAATAGATCATTCCTTATGCTCTAAAACTGGTGTTGCTGCTGACAGCTCAACTAATGACTGCTTATTACTAGCACTGGGGGTACTACTGTTCAGGACCTAATGATAATGATAATGATAAATAATTTTAAAAGTGTGAGAAGTGACTTGCTTTAGTAAACTTCTCAAGGACTATCTCTTTGATATTTCTTGGCCACAATGGACCCTGTACTGAGCCATCTCTCCTAAT